CACACACACACACACACACACACACACACACACACACACACACACACACACACACACACAGATGTTTTGTGTGTCAGCTGCAGCCTGATGATTGAATCCAACGGCGGAGAATCTCTCAGCGTTAGTGCTCTCCAGCCCCTCATGCTCACTTGACATCAGCTGTTCTCACTCTCTCACTCCGCCTGCAAAATGACTCATTCATCAGCGAAACGCCAGACATGAAGCAACGATCCATGACGCTGTTAAGCTCCCAGTGTGTGCACGCACAGACACACTAACGCAGACAGACAGTTGCTGAAGGATTATCCACGTTGATGAGCAGATTTGCATAACTGCTTGCCGAGTTTCTGTGTGGCCCCTGTTTTATTGTGTTGCTTTGCAAATTAGTTTTTTCTTGATGGAGTGGGACAAATGTGGGAGAAAGTTGCTTTTAGCCCTGTAATCAAAACATGATGACACAGTACTCTTTAAATCCCAAATCAGCTGATTTCTTAGTCAAACTAGCTATTGGTTTTCGGTCTGTGAAAGGGGTTGAAAAATCAGTTTCTTGTCAACGTTTAAATGAATAGACAGCCATAATCACATGCTCATAATTTTCAGACAAACATAAAAGCATCATAATTAACTTTTAGTGGGAAAAAAAAATGAAAACATTAAATCTTCACGAACAGTGATGAGGTTGATTGTAAGAATGCTGTTGTGCAAATCCACAGTTTTTCCTCTTTATTTCCCCTTTTTCTAACGTTCTAGTTTTATTCTTTATTTTGTGTGTGTATATTTATGTGTGTGTGTGCGTATAAGCAAGAGAGAGCGTTGCTGCGCTTCTTTCAAACTGATGCAATGACTTCCATTCTTCTCAAAGATGTGCCTTTACGTACACATTTCCTGTTCACAAACTGTTGAGAAAATACTTGACTGGCAACTTTATTATTGCCCACTTGTCAAAGGGTGGTTGGTAATGCAATGCCTATGTGTATGTGTGTTAGAGTTGCATTCTGGCCCACAATATCCGACCCGGCCTGGCCCCAGCCTGTAGCCATCATTTCTGAACCCCACCCAACCCAACGAATTAACATTGCTTACAGGTCCAAACCCGAAAAAAACATTTTGAATTTGGCTTTGACTGTTATATACTGTAGCTATTAATGGTCAGCGGATGCACGCAGCTAAGGGGGCAGAAGATCGGAGCCGAGGGGGTGTTTGTCCTTTCATGGCCGTCAAAGCGCATTAAATCCCTGCATTCTGCATTATTCAAACACGGACCCTGCTCTGACCTTTTGGATATTTTGGGACCTCACCTGTTTGGGTCGTCGGCTGTGCGTGTTCGCTGAGTGCAGCAGTTGAATGAATTTGGGCTTTGATGGATTGCTGCCTGGCAGTATAGTCCCATCTGAAGCTTAACTGAACTTTTCTTTTTACCTCTTTCATTCATTCAACCTTTATTTATACAGATAAGTCTCATTGAGCCTAGAAGACTCATTTACAAGTGAGATCAAGGCTGGTCAGCGAGCGGTCAAATGGCCGCGTGTGGCTGGTGAATGTATGGCAAGCCATGTTGCCATATAGTGAGATTGTCAGCCGTGCGCGTCCGCTGACGCAATCGAAAGCCCGACACCAGGCCGGCCTGCAAATTACGTACATTATTATGGCCAGGCATGGCCCAAATCTGGGTCAGGCCTGGCTGGGCTCCGGGTTCGGGTTAGAAATGACAACTCTAATGTGTGTTCATTAATCTGCCTGTTAGCAAAATACCTCGTGAACTACTAAACATATTTTAATGAAACTCAGAAAGATTTGTCAAAGGGTGGTTGGTAATGCAATGCATATGTGTATGTGTGTTAGAGTTGCATTCTGGCCCAAAATATCCGACCCGGCCCGGCCCCAGCCTGTAGCCATCATACCCTTTCATCATTCTTACCAAACACAGAAATGGCTATAACTTATTGTGATATAACTGGAAGTGGTAGTAGCTGAGAGTCATCTCTAATATATATCTATCAAGATTGAGTCAGGTTCTTCAGAGAAGTCTTGGATCAAAACCAAAGCATTTAAGCAACTAAGAATCCGTCCAGAGGACCTGACTCAATCTAGTTAAATTCATTTACCTGGATTATTGAGCATACATCAGGACATTTCTAACACATACTTTGAGCATTTACATATTGCATGTTTTACAATATGATGTGAAAACACGCTTGACATGATTTTTAAGATTGGACCAAAAGTTAAAAATTTCATTTTTCGAGAAAAGTTGATTTATATTAAAAAAAAGGAAAAACATATTTTAAGAAAACCAAAGACATTATTTACAAGCAGCATTTTCCGAGGTTCTTCTAACAGCAACAAAACTGTAAAGTTTGTGGTTTTGGCTAAATTACCAAACAAACACTTTATATTGTTCTTGAACACTGTTTTTGTTTTAATTGATTTTATTGTAGTATATTCTTGTCTGTACTCCATATGTCTGTCTAAAACAGGTCGCTCTTGAAAATGAGTCCTCGTGACTCATTGAGACTACCTGTATAAATAAAGGTTCAATAAAACATATATAAATAAATAAATACTACAATGGTCCCATTTTAACTTGTGCACAACCAAACAAAGCCAAATTTCTGGCGATGAGCAAGTGTTTAGAAGAAAGTCTAAAGTGATGCTTCAGAATGAATCACTGTGGTAAATCATTACAATAACAAAATAATAGATTACAGTTTGATATCAACTCCTTGGGGAAAATATTTTGAATAACTATCTTCAAAAAAAGACCCAGAAAAAAGGAGAATCAAGCGAACTTACACACATAAACTTTAAAATAAAAATGCTAATGCCATCTTACTAATCATGTTGAGTATGCATTGATGAAAACACTAGATGTAAGGGTCCTTGAACAAGAAAATAAAACAACAGCAATTGATTATTTTATACATTACATTGTATATGGAATCAACTATTAAAAAAAAACCTAAGTTGTGCTCATCTGTGCACAAGCATGTAGCATCATACCTTGCTACAGGGCATTATCCAGTAGGCGATAGCCAGGAAGGGAAGCCCTACTGTTACCCCCAGCACCGTCCAGCACTTCACACCAACGGACTGCTGCCTCAGGCCTGGCAGGTTCTCATACCAGATAGTCAGCAGCTGCTGCTGGCAGTTGGGATGAGCAACAAACTGAAGATGGAAAAAAAGACAAGAAACTTGAGACAGGAAAGGAGAAGTGGGCACAGGTCAAAGACGGATACAGGAGCAGCTGAGTCATTAACAAGAACATTTTTCCAAGAATTACTAATTTGATTTCGTTATCTTTTTCTCTGATTGTGTTACATTCATACTAAAAGCTGCTTACTTGGTCATGTGTCGTTAATGACAGACCATTCTGAAAGCCTTCCTTATGCATTTAAAACACGGACATTTTCTAACAGTATTTATGATTATACTTGAAGTTTTAGATGTACAATAATATTTTTTGCATCCTGTTATCAGAATGGTAAGTTATGTCCACCACAATGAAGGGACAACCCAGAAAACTTGAAGTTTATGACATGATGTGCTAACAACAAGCTGTAGAATAATGTAGGCAGCAGAGCATCTTTTCACAGATGAATGAATCAAGAAAGAAGCAAAGACTCTTTTAGTTTTAGAATAGAAATGCGCATCTGCATCACTGACACGAAATGAATCAGTTGAGATATTTTCACCTTTGTATAAATTACACCTGAATGAGTGACTGATGTTGAACCAGCTGGAAAGTTTGACCATGACCAAAGTCCATAAATACATCCATTATCTTTACCCGCTTCTTCCATTTTGGGTCACTGGGGTCACCGGTGCACAGCGATCACTATGCGAGGGGCGGGGTACACCCTGGACGGGTCGCAAGTCCATCACAGGGACACATAGAGACAAACGAGACAAACAACCATTCACTCTCTCACTCACACCTAGGGGCAATTTAGAGTTACCAATCAGTCTAACATGCATGTTTTTGGTCTGTGGGAGGAAACCGGAGAACCCGGAGAAAACCCACACATGCACGGAGAGAACATGCATACTCCACCCAGAAAGGCCCCTGGACCGGGGTTTGAACCAAGGACCTGCTCGCTGAGAGGCAGTAGCTCTACCAGTTGCGCCACCGTAATGACCAAAGTGAACATTTTAAAGAGGATTTTGCAGATAATCAGTCCGAAGAGTTTCAAATGACTGGAAACCGTATAGTTCCTCAAACATATCTTTGAGGAACGTTTCCTCTGGTTGCATAGAAGACAAAGGGTGGTGGGTGAAAATAATCATCTTACAATTTTATGCCAAACTCCAAGGGCTCCCTCCCACAGACTTAAAACATTTAAGTTTTGTTAACTGGTTATTCTTAAAAGTCCACATGAGTAAAAGCATAAATGATTATCTGTCTTGTTTGTCTCTTTGTGGCTCTGTGATGGATTGTTAACATGGGCCTGGGTGGAACCCACTTCTCACTCAATCACTGCAGAAAGTAGGCACCAGCTCCCTTTGACCCAGCAGGAACAAGTGTCTAAAGAAAATGGGTGGATGGAATATAGATTTAAAGATCCCAAGTTTTGCAACAAGGCAATATGAACTTGTATAAATATAAAATATGAACTAGATCAAAGTTACATTGTTTTGACCAATTACCACAATCTGTAGAACATGTAGTAGGAACTTAACAACTTTATCAAAGGAGTAAACAACCATTGGCTTCAGTTCAGGAATTGATTCTATTTTTTTAACATTACAACCGTGTTATTTCAAAATGACCTAATTTACATTTCTTGATAAATACAATCCTAAGACAAGTTCTTGAGAATGTCATTTTAAATATCCATTAAAAAAAGAAAACATCCTATACATCTTCCTTTCAAGCAGTTTTACATTGGTTAAAAATACATACTTGATGTCTGATGTTAAGCCATAAAAAGTGAATAAAATGGGTAAGGGTTGGAGATCTACAGTATTTGGAAATGTGTTGAGAAATTATTAGATTTGGTACCAAGCAGAACATCTTAGACTACACAAAGTCTCTGACTTGTAAACAATTTTCCAGAATATCAAAGAACATAGTAATTGAAAAAGGCAAAGCCATTTTCCAGGAACAAGTTATCTCTCATGGGTGATGAGTTCAAATGAGGACAAACTTTAAACTTGACATTCCTAAAACTCATCCAAAGTAAAATTTGTAATATAACACTTTTTTTTTACACTGTGTCTTTACTTTGTCATTTTTTTCATTCGACCTTTATTTAAATAGGTTAGTCTCATTGAGCCACGAGAACTCATTTACAAGAGAGACCTGAATTTTAACAGAGTGATGGCAACAGTGGACAACAATAACAACAATAGACAGTCACAAATGAT